CGCAGCTCAGTTTGAAAACTCACCTGATATACACAGCATTCATAGCAGCACTCCTAACATTAAAAGGTGTAAACACCTAAATGTCTGCCAACCGGTAAGCAAGTTGAGGGCTAGCAGACTGTTCAGCCACGGAAAGGGTCGAAGTACGGGTAGGTGCTACCACACAAACACTGAAAACATTACAAGCGAAAGAGCCAGTCAGAAAGACCAGTGTGGAATTTCATGATATGGACCATCCAGAGTAGGGAAAGCCATCGAGACAGAATGTAGGTGGGTGGTGACCAGGGACTGGGAGAGGGAAGGAAATGGAAGAACTGCTCGATGGGTACAGGGTTTTATTTGGGGCTGATGACCCAGGGTGTGCATCACACAGCTCGAAGAGACCTGTGAGCAACCTTGTGAGTGTGTACATGCCAGCGAAGTGTTCACTTCGGAAGCGTTAACAATAGCTGGATATGATGGCACGCACCTGTAACCCAGCACCTGGGAGGCTGAGGCAGGAGCATCACGAGTGTGAGCCTAGCTCGGGCAACTTAGCAAGACCCTGTCTCAAAGGAAAAAATTAAAGAAAGGGCTGGGGACGCAGCTCAGTGCAAAGACCCTGGGTTCAATGTCCAGTGGCCCCCCCCCGCCCCCACCAATTAATTGTATGTTTTGTTCTTTTCACCGCTATTGGAAAAAACCACAACTTTCTGATGGGCTTCAGCAATAAAGACGACACCGTGACCGCACGACCACTCCCCGCAGGCTCTTCTGGGCTCTCGGGGCGTCTTCCTCTCCGCACGTCCCATCCCGGTTCCCTCTCCTTTCCTTTCTCTACCACCCCCTAGTGGCCATCGCCGGAAGTCCAGGCACCTTCTTGTTCCTAAGCCATCTTCTCTGGGTCCTCTTTTTTTTTTGAGCGAAAATCAGGAACGCCGAGGACAGGCCCATAGAAGCAACCCCGGACGTTTGGAATGAGCAAGACCTGGGTTCCTGTTCTGCCCTGCGACTTCCTCAGCTGTATGACGTGGCGTCTGAAGTTAATGCGCCCCTCAGAGCCTCACCTCCCGCACCCGCAGAGCCTGACTCCTAACGCTGGCGTGAAGCCTATGCGGATGAACGCACCCACGGTGTGAGCGGGACATGAGTCCACACCCACCAGGCCGTCCGAACACTCCTGGCCGCGGAACAGGCTCCAGTATGTGCTGGTTGCTAGAAAGTCTGTTGGTTTCTAGTCATCCTTTAAGGCCCAGAACAAAGGCGGTCACTTCCGTGAGGTCATTGCTCCTCCCTAGGCAGAATCAAATCTGTCTTTGGGTTTTTGATTCGTTAATTTTTCAGGGCAGGGGATGGCAACGTGGTCTCGCACATGCCAAGCAGGCTCTTGCGTGAGCTTCTCCCTGGCCGCTTGTGTTTTCTTTGCACACATCTGTGCTCAGGCTGTTTCTTCTCCGTGTCTTTTCCTACGCGTGCATGCAGAGCGCTTTAAGGTGCAGATTCTCCACCATTTGTGAGAGAGTTTGAGTTCTTGCGCCCCTCCGTCTCAGGACTCTTTTCTCTGCAGCTGGCCTGTCCTCCTCGGTACTACAAAGCTGGTTTGGTTGCCCCACGGCGGGGTGGGAAAGACCCACGGCTCACCTCGCTGCTTACTGTGTCCCCAGGGAGCAACAGCCCTGAAACGATGAGGTCTGGGATCAGTTCACTTCAGAGCTTCCAAGTGCTGGGTTGGGGATATAGGATAGTGGTAGAGCACTTGCCTACTTCCATCCCCAGAGCTGCCCATAATAAAGTCTACTAGACATTCTTAAAAAAAAAAAAAAGAAAAAACTTCTAGGTGTTACCAAGCTTTCATTCCAATTTTGCATCCGGGGTGGGAATGACGAAAATAGTTAGCACCCCTTGATCTACCTTCCTGCCGCAGACTTGCTTTGTCTCCTGCGTGTTCTCACGGCCTGGTGCGCAGTCCAGTCACTGCTAGCTGGGTCTAGGTGGTTCCTAGGTTCCATCCACATGACTGACCACAGCATGGTGACAGCCGTAGGAGCTCGGGCGGAAATCCGGTCCTGTTCTAGAGTGTTCATCTGCACTCCCTCTTTACTCAGCAGAGTCATTGAAGACAAGCGCCTGGGACACAGCGCCCCAAGGCCAGTTTTTTGCTCCTTAGCCTGCTTCCTTCTTGGACCAGGAGCACTCTGAATTCGACCCTTAATTGTCTCTTGGTAGCACCACCATCCTCCCAAAAAAGCCCTTTATTCGTTTGGGTTTTTTTTTTTTTTTTTCCTTCCGGTACCAGGAATCAAACTCACAACCCTGCACTTGCCAGGCAGGCCCTTTGCCACTGAGCTAAATCCCCAGCCCCCGCAAAAGCACTTTAAATTGATAAGACTTTTAGAGTTTCTTGGGTCATTAAGATGATTCATTTTTGTTGGGTGCAATATCCATCTTCAGGGCCCTCAGAATCCTTAGATGAAACTGGAGATTGAAAGTCCTATAGTACTTTTATGCGTTTCTCTCTATCCCTGGGCTACTCGTGAGACTTTTCCTACAAGATACTGTGTCAGTGTGGGTTAGAGTTCACAGACAGTAGCAGGAACGTCTGAGGGGCTGGAGCCTGGCAGACCTGGCTTTGAATCATGGCTCTAGTGCAAGTTCAAGGAATGCATTAAACCTTTCCATCCCTTGGTTTTCTCATCTTGTCAGTGGGTAGATATTAATTCTGAGCTTTGGGTCAAGAAGCAAGTAGGATTTTTGTGAGACACTTGGCACAGATTTCCAACAAATGCAAGATCCCTCAACCCTGAGGTCTTTTCTTTCTCTTGCATGCAGTTTGATAACAATGTTCCATAATCGAATCTGCTGCAAATGTTAAAAAGGTAGGATTTCTTCTTTTCTGCTCTGTGCTTTATTTTTCGGTGCACCCACTGCTCAGCAGAGTTTGAGAAGTGGCTGACATGGTGGTCGTGCTGCACAGAGTCATCTGAGCAGATGGGTGTGGGGAACAGGGACCTCACTCAAATCCTGTGCTGTTGTCAGAGCCAGTAGAGGTTTGCAAGGGGCAGCACTGACAGAAAGCAAGAACATGTGCCTAGCAAAAAAAGTGAGGGCCGCAAAGCAGTGTACAACATAACACCATTTACGTAAGCAGGAAGAATGCACGAGCAGTCCAGGAATCTATATCCTATAGAAATTAAAGTACCAGTATTTATGGATTCAAGCATACAGATGTTTCCTGCAGCTTAGTAGTAATTTAGAGAAGTAAGCACAACCCGAGTGCCCATCAATAGGGGAATGGTTGGATGAATTATTGAGCAACCATTCTATGAAAACTCGTGCAACTATTAAAAAGAACGCATTGAGCCTGGGTATAGTGGTGTGTACCTGTAGTCCCAGCTACTCAGGAGGCCGAGGCAGGAAGATGGCTTGAGGCCAAGTAGTTCAGGGGCAGCCTGGGCAACATAAGGAGACACTGCCTGAAAAGAAAAAAAGAAGTAATAGAGTGGAGTCTACTATCTTGGAAAGGTGACTATGACTTATTCTTAAATGAGAAAAGCAATTTGCTGGGGTATAGATTATGAATCTATTTTCATTAAACATATTCTCTTTCTCACACATGAGAGTACCTGTGTGCATGTGTGTCTACCTGTATAGTGGCTGGAAGGATCCTGGAGAATGACCCTGTCTATGTTGTTAGCAATGCTCACCTGCTGGGGGTGCAGGAAGATAAGAAGAAAAGACTATAAAGATGAAAGAAGAAAGCCCTGCACACACACGCACACTCCTGATGGCAATGTCGGATAGCAACCAGGACATAGCTGGGCATGGTGGTGCACGTCTGTTATCCCAGCACTCGGGAGGCTGAGGCAGGAGGATTATTGCAAGTTCAAGACTAGCCTGGGCTACAAAGTGAGCTCAAGGACAGTCAGAACTGCATAGCAAGACCTTGCCTCAAAAAGACAAAAACAAAAACAAAACAGAAACCAGAACATGAAGATTCAGTTGCTGGTATTGGTTAGAATGGGTCAGTGATGAAAATCCAACAGAACAAGGGTTGGGCTGTAAGTCATGTGGATCAAAGACTGCACATAAGGATGTTTGAGCAAAAAAAAAAAAACTATATGGACATAAAACAGCAACACAAAGAGCAACAAAATAAACACTGAACACCTGAAGAGAGCCATCCAGGGGCGAGGGGAGCAGGATGGGCGGAGGCAGGAGGAGGAGGAGGAGGAGGAGGTCCAGTGTGAATTTTGAAAGATTTTAGAGTTGGGCCATGTATTTGGATCAGTGAGGAGGGTGTGGCGTAAGATGAGGAACTGAGCACTCTGGACATAGGGTTAAAAAAAAAGCCAAATGTAAATGTTCTTCTCTAGCAGCTCCTGAGAAGAACAGCCCCAAGACCTCCCTCCAGTGAGCTATGCCTTCTGCCTTAGGGTCTTCCACAAGTGCTGCGAGGGTGACAGGGACGAGCCCTGACCCCAGGGAAGTGGTCACTGGAAGCCAGGAGGAGTGTGAGGGAGCTTCATGACGCCATCATTGTTCAAGACCTGGAAACTTCCAGACCAGTCTGCGCTGTGCTGAGCCCAGCATCCCGCATAGCCTGAGCGGGAGAAGGAAGACGCAGTGGCCCGCAGACCCATCTGTTCTGCTCGGCTGGGGAGATCGTTCTGGGGCGAACTTTAGTTAGGAATGAGTTCCCTTAAAGACTGCCTTCCCACTTTTGGGATTAGAGTTAACTGATGGTCTAAAAGAATGCTGTGTCATGTTTTATGGCCTCGAGGCTCTTCTCCTGACATTAATCTAACTTCGTCACCACCCCCAACCCCTTCTCCCAAGCTGCCTCTTTTTTTAAACTTTTTTTTAGCCGCCGACTGCACTTATCTTTTGAGCTTTGAACCCTGCCCTGGTGGGTCAGTAATTTCTTTAGGTAAACAGTCTCGTTGACCTAGAAATAGATTCGAACTGGGAGCAAACAGCTCGTTTGTGATTAACAGGCCCTGCCTCAAAGCCCAGTGTCCCAGGCCGATGGTCCCTTTTCTCCTGGTGGCAGTAGCCGACTTCCCCTGTGCCAGCTGTCCCACAGCTGTGTGTCTTCCTCTTAAGGTACAAGCTGGGGTCTGGTAAATAAACGGGGCTTTGCCAGAATCCACCCAAGAGCAGGAGAGTTCCACCCAGCTGTCCAGGGATGCTCCAGCCACGAGAGTCTGACAGTCTGGCGCTGGTCACCCTTCTCCCAAGCCCTGTGGGTTGCTGAAGGACGGTGCTAACACACTTGCCTTCCCTCTGCTGGAACGCGTCCTGTATGATGGCCCCCATTATAGTTAATGAGCTGTTAGCTTTTCCATTAAGGGAGTTTTTTAAAGGTTTATAATCTGGTAATAACAATAATTTGCTTCAGGCGGAAACTTCGGTAACAGGAGTGAAGAAATCGCAATTGCCTCTGCTCTGCCGGGGACGCCTGGGTGGGGAGTTGGTTCGGCCTTGTATTTGTCACATGCGAAAGGAAACATGTCCAGGAACTAGAAGTCTTTCACTATTGTTTTTTTAACAATCATTTTTGGTAATTGTTCTACTGGGTATAAGATATTTCCAGAGAGGAAGGGTCAAGACAAGATGAGGGGACAGGAGCCCCAGATGGAATCAGGACATCTGTGGGGGTGAGTGCCCGGGGAAGGCTGTGTTGGCTGGTGAGTGTGAGAAACAAGTTGCAGGGAAGCCACCCAGGAAGCCCTGGTGCTGGATCCAACTCCGCTAACTGTGGGACAGACAGAACCCCAGACCTCCTTAACTTCAGATCCCACAAAGGCCTGGTTGGTCAGACAGCCTCTGCAGACAGTTTGTAGTGGCATCTGTGAAGGATTCGGATTCATCCAAGTACTCAAGTGCAGCTGGGTGAGGCTTTGTGCGATATAACTAGAAACGTCTATTTGGTCTCTGCCTGTGGGTCCCGGCACTCAGCTCCCAAGGCCCTTGGCATCTCCAAAGCAATGGGTCCCGGTATAGGATAATGTGATGACTAGTGGCTGGGAGACTCTTGGACATCCTGAGGATGAGAGGCTGGTTGCCAAGGAAACCATGTGATGAGAGGTTTGCAACTTTCTGTCCTCCCTTCTTGCACCCACCTGTACCTCTGACCCACTGGGAAGATGGGGGCTGAAGGTTGAAGTGATCACCAATGACCAATGGTGTAATCAATCATTTCTACATAATGAAGCACATATAAAATCCTAGAAGGCCAGGGTTTGAGAACCTTTTGGGTTATTGAACAAGAGACACTACAGGGAAAGGTGCAGGAGCTCTGCTCTTTCCCATGTACCTTATCCTATACTACTTTCCTAGATATTTTTCTCATTGCTGAGACAAAATACCCAACATCCAAAGTTAGAGGAAAAGAGGTTTATTGTAGCTCACAGTTTGTGGAGGTTTCCATCCATAATCGGCTGGCCCCAAAGTAGGGTAGCACCTGGCAGAGGGGCATCACAGAGGAGAAACAGTTCATGGCTGGCAGAAGGCAGCAAAGCAGTGAAGCAGCAAGCAGTAAGTGACAAGCAGCAACAATAGCAGCCCTCTTTCTGTTCCTTATATTCTATTCAGACTACTCACCTTTAGTGCTGGTATTACTCACATTCAGAGTGGGTCACCCTTAATCCCAGCATTACACCTTTAATCAATCACAGCATCTCACCCTTTATCCCACAATCATAGATCCAAACCTTTGCAAAACTCCACTGCATGAAGCTTTGGGGGAATATCTAGATACAAGCCATAACAACTACATTGCTTCATCTGGACATTCATTTATATTCTTTGTCAGGAGTGGGGAGATGTAAATAAAGGATCCACCTGAATTCTTTGATCTGTCCTACTAAATACAACCTATCTGAGGAGGGGTCATGCTTGTGCCCTGTTTATAACCAATTGATCAGAAGCACACGTGACAACTGACTTCTTGATAAATGGCATCTGTGTTAGTCAGCTTTCTATTACTATAACAAAATACCTGAGGCAAACAATTTAAGAAGAAAAAAAGATGTTTTTTGGCTCATGATTTTGGAGGTGTAAGTCTGTGGTTGCTTGGCTCTGTGTCCCTGTGGTGGAGCTGAGAGCAAGTGGTAGAGCAAAGTTACTCATGGCATGATAGTTGGGAAGTACGAGAGAGAGAGAGAGAGGGGGGAGGACCAAGGTCCCAATGTCCCCTTCTAGGGCACATCACCAATGACCCTTCTCCTCCTATGCCCTACCTCCCTGAGTTTCTACCATCTCACAATGGCCCCATCAGCTGGTGACCAAGCCTTCAACGTATGGCTTTGGGGGACATTTGGGATGCAAAGCTAAAAGAATCAGAAGTGCAACTGTGCTCCCAGCCTGGGGGATCGGACTCTAATCCAGGGCAATAGTGTCAGAGTTAAGGGATCTGTTGGGGTCCCAGGAGAGCCCCTGGTGGTGCAGAGCCCCACCAGCAGTGGGATATTCTGTGCTGAGCATGACAGTGGGAAAGTCAGTGTGGCTCTCCTTCCTCTTCTCATCAGGAGGTTTTAGGAGATGTGAAGAGTTCCTAACCTGGTGGAAGAAATGGTTTCTGCAGGCAGCCAGGAGTGAGAGGATGGACGAAAGCCACAGGAGGCAGGGGCTGCGGAGGGGCCTTCTGCGGAGGTGTGGCAGACAGAGAGATGCAGATGTGGCAGTGGCTCTGGCTAAGTGGTTAAGCTGCCCAGGCTGGGATAGAACTCACAGTCCTCCTGCCTCAGCCTCCCAGAGTGCTGGGATTACAGGAGTAATGCCACCACACCCAGTGTCTTTGAAACATTTGGAGAGGGCAGGAAGAGCAGGCTCCTAGTTTGCCTCATCGTGGTGAGCGAGGAGACTTAGAGTGGGGCTCAGTGGAGGGGAGGGTGCTGCTCTGACTCTAGAATGTAGGAGGGATTTGATGCATTTTTGCTGAGCGAGAGAATTATTTGTTCAAGAGAAGCAGGCTTAGCACAGGGCTGAGGAAATGCCACTGTGAACAAAGACACACAGCATGATAAACCTTACACCTCATGAACTTGAGCTTTCAGGCCGTGGGATTTATAGTTTGCAGTCTCACAGGAGGACAGGAGAAAAGCGCCTCCTCTTGGTGAGAAGGTGGCTGTCTGGGTGTGGATGTGCTCCTTCTTCTGTGATCTGTCCCAGGTTTGCGTGTCCTAAGGGCGGCCTTGGCCCCTGGCGGAGCAGCTCATTCTGGGCTGCTGGGCCAGGACAGCCCTGTTGGGAAGGTGGCCAGGAGCTTCATTAGCTCGGGAGGGTGGGTATGGAACACCGGTGTGGGGACATCTCTCCAGCAGTGCGTGGCCTGGGAATCGTGTTGTTGAGCGAGTGGGGTTGTTTCATTCGTGCCTTTTCCATCCACCATGTATTAGATGCTCACTCGATGCCATTGCTGAGAGAGAAAGGGATGGAAAAGACACATTTCTTTCCCAAGGAAAGAAAATATAGGTGATAAGTTGAAAACAAGTAATTGCAAAACACTGGAAGGTGCCACGGGAAAAGTGTGGAATGTGCCCTGGGGCGTGGAGGAGAGGTTCGCCCTCCGCCAGGCCAGGACAAGGAGAGATGGGTGCCAGCTGCCCGCGGGAGAGAGGCTGTGTCTGTAGCCGAGAAATAGCGTGAACGTCGGGGTTCGGTTGGGGTTGGAGACCAGGGCTCAGCATGGGCCGGTCTGTACTCACATTGACTGAGAGCTTCGCTGGACGTCCAGACGGCCACATCAGGAATCCGGGCCACCTTCCAGACCCTGTTCCTCACCCCCTGCCCATCTCAGCCCAGTGTCTGGGGCTTCTGCCTCCCTCTGAGCCTCCTGGAAGAGTGTGGCCTCTGAATCTGACAGTTCCCCTCCTGCCTGCCAGTCCTCTCTGGTTCTGTCTACTGACGTGAGGCTTACTATCTGGTGAGGAGATACAGGAAATACAATAAAGAAGTAAATAAAATAAATGATATGTGAAATTATATAATGCAGTAGATAGGAATGTTTTTAGACATCAGAAGAAAATAATTGCAATCCCAGAGCTCTGGGAGCCTGAGGAAGGACGACTGCAAGTATGAGCTGAGTCTGCAGTTTAATGGTTTAGAGATTGTTGAGCTCAGTGCTAAGGCCCTGGGGTCCATCCCCAGTACCTCAAAACAAAACAAAACAAAACAAAACAAGACAAAACACCACTGCCGTGTCAGGACCGATCCTGACATTTGGAAGCTCACTGTGCGCTGTGCTAAGAGTTCAGTGGGAGCAGCGAGGGCAGAAGCATATCAACTGCTGGCAGCCAACTGGTGAAGGTGGTGGTTTGGGTCAGGGGCCTGGCTGGCTCTGTATGCGGTGGGGTTGTATCCCACATTAGAACCCTAAAACCCCGTTTCTTCCCAAAGTCACAGTCCTGCTGGATGGCAGACTGGCTCCCATGTGACCGAATGTTACAACCTATCTGTCTTCTGACAATAGGTGGAGAACAGGTCTTTATGCTCAGCGTTGTTACCATTTCCTGAAACCTATGGTTAGAGGCCCCTGCTTGGAGGGATTTAGCCCGCAGTCAGTCTTGCTGGCTCCCGTGCGATCCAGTGAGAGGGAGACTCGAGTGTCATCACGTGGGGGTGCAGTTTTGGTACCATGTTTGGAAGCTAGGATGTGGGAGGCTGGAAGAGGTGATCATAACTCATTTGACTGTAATTAAACTCTTGCTATTGGAGCTGAAATTCTTAGAGACTTCTGCCTGTGTGGGACGGGGAACGATTTATCATAGGAATTCAGTCTGCTTTGCTGTAAAAATGTTGATCTATTATTCTGTCCATGAGCTCCAGGAACTGTGGTTTACATCTCTGGTGGTAGATGTGCAGACATCATACCAACTTTTAGACTAAAATCAAAATTATTGAGATGTGTGTGACTCATGTCACAAGTAACAATTTATTTATCTAAGACGCTGAGTGAATATTCCAAACTTTCAAGAACAGTTAACATTGGAGACCAAACAGAGTATAGAAGATAGTGTATCTTTTTGGGAGGTAGCACTGCTGTGAAGGCAGCAGCCATCAGTTAAATAAACAAGTGTTTCTACTGATGACCGCAGCCTCGG